AAAGAAGAAATAAAACTATCTCTGTTCATGTATGATTTTTTTTTTCAGTTACTGGGGATTGAATCCAGAGGCACTCTGCCTCTGAACTATATCCCCAGACCTTTTCTTTTTTWAATTTTAGACAGTGTCTCACTATGTGGCTGAGGCTGGCCTCAAACTTGCAATACCCCTCCCTTAGCATCCAGAGTTGCTGGAATCACATACATGTACCACTGTGCTTTACTATATAAAGAAAACTCTAAAGATTCCATAACAAACATTAGACCTCATAAATGAATTCATCAAAATCCCAGGATTTAAAGCCAACACATGAAAATCAATTGCATTTCTATACACCAACAATGAACAATCTGAAAACAATTCTATTTAGAATAGCATAAAAATACTTAGGAATTAGCCAAGGAGGCCAAAATTTGTACTATAAAAACTACAAAATATTGTTGAAAGATATAACTAAATGGAAACAAATCCYATATTCTTGGATTGGAAGACTTTATGTTGTTAGGTTATCAATATTACCTAAAGTTTTCTATATATTCAATGCATAACTTATCAAAAATCACAAAGTTTTTTTTTGTATAAATAGAAAAAAACCATCTTAAAATTCTCAAGGGACCCTGAATAGTCAAACCAATATTGAAACAGAAAAAAAACCTGGAGGATTCAGTTGTTGATTTTTAGCTTACTACAAAGCTACAATAATTAAAACAGTATGATACTATAATAAATAAAAATATATAGACCAATGGAAAAGAATAAAGAGCCTAGAAAAGTTCCCTTACGTATATAGTCAAATGATTATTTGTTTTTGTGATAATGGGGATTGAACTTGGTTCTACCCAAGCTACACACAGTGATATTTTATTTTTTGAGACAGGGTTGAGATAGGAATTTGAGAATACTAAGTCTCAAAGGAAGTGCCCATAAGTGACTAAAATGTAGAAAGCATCCAAAAATAATTAAAACTCCTGAGTTACAGGACCTAGGCCAGTTCCCTTGACCCATGCCCTTGTGGGCAAAGTGCAAGCACAAGGAAATTGGCATGAAGTGTGTAGCTTCACACTGCCTCCACCTCTAGCCCAGTAAGCATTAACACCCCACACCGGAGGGGTTGCTGTCTCTTCCTCTGGAGATAACCCTCATTATTATTATTATTCTCATTATTATTATTATTATCCTTCTTCTCTTTCTCCTTCTCCTTAAAATTTTTTTTAGTTGTAGATGGAAACAATACCTTTACTTTATTTTTATGTGGTACTGAAGATCGAACCCAGCACCTCACACATGCAAAGCGAGTGCTCTACCACTGAGCTACAGCCTCAGCCCCACATTCTTCTTTTAACCCCAAAGGCCTCTCTCTTGAGATTGTCCCCTTTCTTCTTTAAACAGGTATTTACTTCCTAAATAAACTTCTAATAATGTCTTTGATGGACACTTGCTGAAGTTCTTTCAGTCACATAAGCTGGTCCATCCTGAGTCAAGTTCTCCACCCCTCTCTGGAAACTCCTTGGACACTTCTTTGGAGATATGCTCTTGTGACAAGGCTAAGTTGCTGAGGCTGCCATTGAACTTAATGGGACTCCCTGCCTCAGTCTCCTGAGTAGCTGGGATTACAGGTGTGCACCACTATGTCTAGTTAGTCAAATGATTTTTGACAAGAATGCCAAGACCATTCAATGGGGGAAAGACAGTCCTTTCAACATACASTGAACTCCCAAACTCAACAATAATGAAAACAGCTAATTCAAACATAGACAAAAACTTGAATAGACTTTTCTCCAAAGATATACAAATGGCCCATAAGCCCATGACAAGTTGTTCAATATTGATAATCATTAGGGAAATGAAAATAAAATCTATGAGATAACATTTTATACCACTTAGGTTGACTAGTATTTAAAAAAAAAAACAGAAAATAACCAGTGTTGGCAAGGATATTGAGTAATTGGAATTCTTATGCACTGTTGGTGGGAATGTAAAATGTTGTAGCTATTGATGGGAACAGTATGGCTGTTCCTCAAAAAATTAAAAATAGAATTCACATGATTCAGCATTTCTACTCCTGAGTATATATACAAAAGAATTGAACCCAGAATCGCAAAGAAATATTTGTCTATTCATGTTTACAGCAGAATTCTTCACAGTTGCTAAAACCCAAGTGTCCATGGATGGATGAACAAATATACAAAATGTAGCATACACATACAATGGAATATCGTTCAGTCTTAACAAGAAAGGAAATTCTAATATAGTCTTCAACATGGCTAACCTCAAGCATGTTAAGTGACATAAGCCATCAAAATTTCATACTACATGATTCCATTTATGTGAGATACTTGGCGTAGTCAAAATCATAGAGATACAAAATAGAATGGTGTTTGCCAGGGGTCAAGAGTAAGAAAGGAATGAGGAGTTAAACCACCATAAGACAGAGAACAGATAGTGAAGAAGTGGGAAATGAAGTTGGAGATGAGTGGACCAATAATTTTAATATCAGAGTGGAAAAATCTATACTTAATTCAGTRTTCAGCTTAGAGCCATTGAAATGAGCAGGGATATGATCTGAACTCGTTTTGAAGGATAAGTCATGGATGACTTGTGAGAGAAGATAAAATTATCTGTTAACATGGTTTCACATCTGGTATTCTTCAATATGTTAAGTAGTAGCTAGCAATGAGCAAGCAGTGAAATGCATGGTAAGGTCACAAAATTCTTTTAAAAATATATATTTTATTTTTATTAGTAGATGGACACAGTACCTTTATTTTATTTTTATGTGGTGCTGGGGATGAACCCAGTGCCTCAAGCATGCTAGGCAAGCACTCTATTACTGAGCCACAACACCAGGCCCAAAGTGTTCTTTAAATTACTTAAGGTCCTTCTTTAAACTATTTTAAGAGTGGAAGAGAAATCAAATGGTGGCAGTTAATCTGTAGAAACTAAATGAAAGCAAGAGAGCTAGTTGGAAATCACAAGAAGAGAACAGGATTAATGGGACTAACTCTTGACAGGRTCCACCGAGGTTGATGTGAAGTTAGGAATCATAGATATAAAGGTCTCCATCTGACAAGAAAGATTCCTTTAGTAGCACAGCCACTCTAAGGTAACTTCTGACCAGCTACTTTTTTTCTTTTTTTAGAGAGAGAGAGAGAGAGAGAGAGAGAGAGAGAGAGAGAGAGAATTTTAATATTTATTGTTTAGTTTTCAGCGGACACAACATCTTTATTTGTATGTGGTGCTGAGGATCGAACCTGGGCGGCACGCGTGCCAGCTGAGCACGCTACCGCTTGAGCCACATCCCCAGCCCCTGACCAGCTATTGACCCTATGCTCACATTAATATGGGATTGATTTGGAATAAAGTCCCCCTAAATAGGATGGCCATCATGACAGTTCCAGAGAGGACCAACTAAGGTCAAAAACTGGCCAGGTGCCATKGAGCACACCTGTAATCCCAATGGCTGCAGCAGCTGAGACAGAAGGATCGAGAATTCAAAGCCCGTCTTAGCGGCCAGGAAGCTCTAAGCAACTGAGTGAGACCCTTTCTCTAAATAAAATACAAAATAGGGCTGCGGCTGTGGCTCAGTGGCCGGGAGTGCCCCTGAGTTCAGTTCTCAGTACCAGAAAACAGCAACAACAAAACCCAACTGCACTGTCCCAACAAGAAGGAGGAATTGAACACCTACCTGATTGGCAATGAGTGCAGCGGGTGGACCCCAGTTCTCCTGGTGAACATCAAAGAGTAATAAATTTGGAAACAGCTATTGTCTCCTTTGTCAATTCCCTGCTCAGAGATGGCCCACACTCTCTTGAGAGTGCTCTCTGCTTAAGCCTCACTTTGCTTTTACTTTACTTTCACCTCATTTTCTCTTTACATTTGCATGATTTTAAATTTTCTGTCAGTCATACCACAAGAATGGAGATTTGGAGTTTCAGCTCCCTGCTTTTCTGTGACAAACATAATAGGCAGCACTTAGTATTGCTTAAATCAARTAAGACCTGAAACAATATTGAAAAGATTTTAGAAATAGAAACTAAAACCTGCAACGTTTTTTCTTTTTAGGAAAATTCTGAGAGACTTGTGCTTAATAAATTATCTGTTAACAATAGCGTCAGATCAAATGAGTTCTAAAAGTAAATTTAAAAGCCGGGGTGGGGGAGAGGGGACCTGGGATTGTGGCTCAGCGGTAGAATGCTCGCCTAGCACGGGCAAGCCCTGGGTTCGATACTCACCACCACATAAACATAAGTAAAATAAAGATATTGTGTTCAACTACAAAATCTATATCTATATCATCTATCTATCTATCTACCTATCTAATTTAAAAGCCACCAAAGCCAAATCCCTAATTATCTTGGTAAACTAGTCCTTTCCTTTTTTGGTAGTGGAGATTCATCTCATAGGAGCTTTACCAATGGAGATACATCCCAATCTCTTTTTATTTTTTATTGATTTTGAGGCAGGATCTCGTTAACTGCTGAGGCTAGTCTCGAACTCGGAGAGGTCCCGCAAACTTTCGATACTCCTGTCTCAGCTTTCCTAGCGAATGGGCAACACTTAATATTGCTTAAATCAAATAAGACCTGAAACATTTGGGATTACAGGCGTACACCACCGTGCCCCAGCGCCTTTCCTTTTTACACCCAGACTCTTTCATCCTAACTTAACCACCCATGGTATCTTTGGTTTTGTTCAAGTTCTCCCCTAAGACTAATTCTGTATTCGAAAAGAGTGTGGCTGGGAAGGCTGGATGTACAAAAGAAACCAAATTAACCACGAGCTGCGAGAACCTCGGTGGGCCTAGGATGGAATCACTCCTCCGCTACGGCGGTTCTTTGTCCACCTAAGTGGGAACCAATAAAGTTGRGCATATTCAAAGGGGGCCTAATCGTCCAAGGCGTGTTGGATAAGCCTGAAAAAAATAATATTAMGAACTCCCTGAGGTTTTAGTTTTCTTCTCCATAGTAGTCCTCATCCACCTCACTCGTAGTACTCTTGTCTTGAGGAAAACGACGCAGTTTAGGCCGGGCGGGGAACATTTCGGGTGCGGCGAGAATGGCGATTGCTGCGGACAGCCTCGAGAAGGCCCCCGGTTCATGTGGTACTGGCGGCCGGAACTGAGGCCTCGAGATAGACGTAATGAAGCCCAGACCCGCCGCGTTCGTGGATAATAAACTCAAGCAGCGAATTATCCAGGTATATATTTTGCTTGTTTCTGCCTCGCAGCGGTCTCTAGTCTCCACCCCAGGGCGTTGCTTTTCTTTTTAAGGGCGAACCCGACTAGCTTCCTGCCTTATTCCCTCCTAGTTTGGGTTCGGGCATGGGGTCTGTCGACTGCTCTACTCCTTTGAGGGTGAGACAGGGCTTTCTCTCACTACGGTAGGGCGAAGAGTGGAATTCGCCTGACAGTGGTAATCACCACGTCTTGTACACAAACTTTCTTCTGACGCCCTCAGAGGGTCATAAAGAAAACGTTAATGAGCGGTTCTCAGAGAGGTAGCTGTCAAATTGTGAAACAGTAAGAAAGGAAGCACGGGTTAGACGATTATAATAGGTTCCTTACTTGCTTTTTTATTTTTATTTTTATTTACTTTTTAAATTAATTTTTGTTCATGTGACAGCGGAATTCATTGCAATTCTTATTACACATATAGAGCACAATTTTTCATATCTCTGGTTGTTACAAAGTATATTCACACCAACTCGTGTCTTCACACATGTACTTTGGATAATAATGTCCATCACATTCCACTATCATTTCAAACCCCATGCCGCCTCTCTTCCCTTCCCACTTTTTTTCATTTTTATAACCATTAGTAGAAAGCAATATGTGGCAAATGGTATGGTCAGCAAACAATCTGAGTTAAAAGAAAGGAGAGATATTCTTTCACCTCAGAGTTTGTGATCTATATACTTAATTTGTTTTGCCTTTACCTTATCAGTCACTCTGCAATCTCCTTTTTGGATCCTTTTCTACTGGCCTCGAAATGTTGGAAGTGGCCCCAGCCTCTGGTTCCTTGAACCTCTGACTTCCTTCCTCAGCTTCTCATTGCACTCTGGTTTCTTACCCCTCTTTCCTCCTCTTTCCACATTCTCCTCACTTATCTTTCTCTACTACGTGGTTGCCTCATCCAGTTTTATTATCTACATATTCATGATTCTTAAATTTGTATCTACAGTCCAGGTTTTATCTTGGATTCCAGATTGGTATATCCAGCTGCCTAGTTGATTCTTTTCTTGAATGTCTGTCTAATAGCTATCTCCAACTTAACATGTCTAAACCAATCTTGATTTTTCCTCCAAATGTATGTTAGTGTTCTGGATTTCAGGAAATGACTCCACCCTCCATCCCATTTGTTAACAAAAACCTTAAGGATCATTCTAACTTTCTTTCACTCCCATATCCAATTCATCAACAATTTGGTTGGCTTTACCTTTAAATTAGTGTATATTCCATATCCAAGCACTTACAGTCTCTTCCTCCAACCATGCAATTCCAAACCACCAATCTCCTTGTTATATAATTGCAATAGCCATCTAACTGATGTCTTTGATTCTTCTTTTACCTAAAATCTATTCCCCACAGAGCAGCCAGAGATTGTTTTAAAGGCTAAATTGGAGCTTGTCAGAGCTCTGCTGAAAACCATTCAATAAGCCGTGTGCAATGGTGTATACCTGTAATCCCAGCAGCTCAGGAGACTGAGGCATGAGGATTGTGAGTTCAAAGCCAGCCTCAGCAATTTAGCAAGGGCCTAAGCAACTTAGAGAGACCCTGTCTCTAAATAAAATATAAAAAAGGACTGGGGATGTAGCTCAGTGGTTAAGTGCCCCTGGGTTCAATCCCTGGTACCAAAAACAAAACAAAACAAAATGCTTTAATGGGGTTTGGGACACCTGGAGTAAAATCCAATCTAGAAAAGTGCCTCTATTTTTCTGTCCCAATAGTTTCCATTTGCTCTCTCCCTTATTTACTCAGTCCTAACCACATTGACTTTCTTATAGATGCCAAGCACAGGACCTTTGTTCTTGCTGTTTACTCACTCTTGAATTACTCTTCCTATAGATAGTCCCACAGCTTACTACTTCACTGTATTCAGGTCACTGAACACTGTTGAATCAAGTGGTCTTTTCTCAGTCCTGCCCACAGTTGACTGCTTTTCAATTCTTGATATTATGAACTTTATAGTTTTCACTTTGGTTCATTGTAAAAATAATAGGTCTTATGGCTTAAAATGAAAGGGACAAAGCTGGGTGTAGTGGTCCAGGCCTGTAGTAGCAGCCACTCACCAGGTTGAGGCAGGAAGATCATTTGAACCTAGGAGTTTTGGGCCAGACTGGGCAATGTAGTGAGATTCCATCTTTTAAACAAAACAAAAAAGGGACAGATGGACTTAAAATGAAAAGAAGTCTTATCATCTTTGTTCTTTCTAGTGGTGACCATGGAGAGTTTCTATTTTCTAAAGATTTCTTATGCCTATACATACTTATATATTTATTCTTTTTTAAATAAGACATTTTCTTCTGCTTGATTTTTTTCCCACTTAGTGGCATATTTTAGACACCTTTCTATTCTGTTTCTTTCCTTTTTTAAAAAAATATTTTTGTTTTAGTTGTAGTTGGACACAATACCTTTATTTTATTTATTTATTTATTTTTATGTGCTGATGAGGATCAAACCCAGTGCCCTGCTCATGCTAGATGAGTGAGCTCTACCGCTGAGCCACAACCCCAGCCCCTCTGTTTCTTTCTTTCTCTCTCTCTCTCTCTCTCTTTTTTTTTTTTTTTAATGGAAATTAGACTTATATTTTGTGGTGCTAGGGATCAAATCCAGGTCCTCTCAYGTTGTAGGCAAATGCTGTACACTGAGCTACATCCCCAGCTATTTTTTTTTTTTTTTACAGCAGCTATGAGATACACATAATTAAGTATAATTTAAAATAACTGTAGCAAATGGCAACATGCTGTAGGAGGCCAGAGAAGGAGAAGATGAGCTAGAATGATCCAGTTTAGGGTACTGAATCTGTTGCCCTGTGCTTGGAAAAAAAGTTGTGTGAAGTGAGAAAGTCAGACTGGATATTAGCAAATATTGAAATACATAGGCTGATAGTCTAACTTAAATTCTGCCCCTTCAATGTATTATATGCTGCTTAACAACTTTTTAAGCCTCATTTAAATTATTTTACCTATAAAATGTGGAAGCTAATATCTACCTCATAAGAGTGTTTTAAGAGAAAGTAAAAGGCCTGAGAACAGTGCCTAAGATAGAGGTTCCCAAACTCTTTTGGTTCACAGGGACTTTAGGGTCTCAGTAGTTTTTTCATAGTACCTCTAGGTCACCAATAATAGGTAATCTGTTTATTAATTAGTGATGTTCAAGTAAGTTAGTAAGAAGTTAGTCCAAATTACTTTAGTAACTTTTTGAAAAACAATATACAAAAATCAAATGAAAATTAATATATTTATATTTCATTCTTAAATAATCAGTTATTTTTTGGGGGGAGGGAGGAGCCTTGGGATTGAACCCAGGAACACTTAACCACTAAGCCATATTCCCAGCCCTTTTTAATATTTTATTTAGAAACAAGGTCTTGCTGAGTTGCCTAGCAACTGAGGCTGGCTTTAAAAAAAWTTTTTTTTTTAATTTGTTCTTTTAAGTTATACTTTATAGTAGAATGTATTTGGCATATCATATATACATGGAGTATAACTTCCCATTGTTTGTTCATAATATGGTGTTACAATGGTTGTGTATTCATATGTGAACATAGGAAAGTTGTGTCTGATTCATTCTACTGTCTTTCTCATTCCCAACAGTTTACTTCTGTATTCAGTTGTATTTGGGAACATTGGTTATAGTAAGCCCACACTCACTACTATAAAGCTGTCTAGTTATTAATATTCTTGTGTTGTAATGGTGATTAATATTGTTGATTAAATTCTGATTTCAAATTGACAATTATTTGGTGATTTTTAAAAATTATTTTGGTATACTTTATTAATAAAGAATTTAAAGTATAATGTTTTAATAACTTGGTCTCTTGTTTCTTGATAATCACAGAGTTTGAAATATTGAGTGTTTTATGTTTTTCATATTTTCTGTTTTAGTACCTCACCAGTAATAGATGTGGCAAATATGTGGACACTGGAATCTTAGCATCTGATTTGCAAAGAATGTACAGGTAAAAAAATGTAGTTTCTAGATCCTTGCTTCCCCACTTCTACCATTGTAAAAGTTTCCATCCAGCGTAAATTTCCAGTTGACATCAATGACTGCTAGCATTACCTCTTCAATCCATATGCTTTGGAATTCAATTCATGTTATATGATGTCTGTAAGCATCTATTATATGCAGTGAGCTGTCCTTTTCACTAGGGGTGTTGGCTACTTTTTACCTTTCAGCCTCTCACACTGTCTGATCAGGAGATAGAGATATTACTTTCTTTCAGGCTTCATTAGAAAAGCAAAACTGTCAGTAATGATCTCCTTCAGTTTTTTTTTTTTTTTTTTTTTTTGGTTTTTAAAAATATTTTTAGTTGCAAATGTTCACAATATCTTTATTTAGTTAGTTTTTTTAAGTGGTACGGGGGATTGAAGCCAGTGCCTCAAGTGTTCTAGGAAAGCACTGTACCTCTGAGCCACAACCCCAGCCCTCCTTCAGTGTTTTAATCTAGAAATATATCACTCACTCAGACTTTCCACTGAAGATTAATTTTTTTTTGTTTTTAATTCCACATCTTCTCTTTCTTATTTTTCATTGACTCTGCTTTGTTTTCAGTGTCTTTATTTTCTTTTCCTCCTTAGTCTATGAATTTGTTTGCTATAGACTGCTGTAACAAAGTATATTGAGTGGATGACTTAAATAATAAGTTTAATTGCTCACAGTTCTGGAGGCTAGAAGTCCAAGATGAAGACATCAGTAGGGTTTGTTTCTTTGTCTTCACATGGACTTTCCTCTGTGAATACCTATCTGTGTCCTAATCTTTTCTTATAAACACACCAATCACAATGAATTGTAGCCCATCCATGTGACCTCATGTTATCTTAATCACTTCTAAATGCTCTGTCTCCAGTACAGTTATGTCTTCAAGTACTGGGGATTAGAACTTCAATGTATGAGTTTGTAGGAGAAACCCGTTCAACTCATTGCACAAGTTCTTCATGTTATTCCCCAAATTCTGTTCTTCTGGGCTTTCTTTTGATACTATGGATTGACCCCAGGGCTGCTTTATCACTGAGCTACATCCCCAGCTCTTTTGCAATTTTATTTTGATACTGGGTCTCACTAAGTTGCCCATGTTGGCCTTGAATTTGTGATCCTTCTGCCTCAGCCTCCTGAGTAGCTGGGATTATAGGCATGTGCCACTGTGCCTGGTCAGCATTCTAGGTTTTTTTCCTAACATATGCCTCAAAATTCTTGTAGCGTCTACCCTTTGCCCAGTCCCAAAGCCATTTCTACGTTTTTAGATATTTGTTGACAGTAGCAACTTAGCAGGACCCTATCTCAAAGTACAAAATGAAAAGAGGTGAGGATGTGGCTCAGCAGTAAAGCGCCCCTGAATTCAATCCCTAGTATAATAAAAAAATTAAAAAATAAATACAGTAAAACCATTCTTAGTGCATTACAAATGTGATAGGCTGGTTTGGCATAAGGGCCATAGTTTGGTAACTGTGAATTAGAGAGGAAGGCAGGCTTCCCAGTACCAACTCTTGTTTTAAGAAGTATGAAAAGAAGATAACTAAAAAGACTTTTTTAAAAATTTATTTACTCCACTTTTGCTTTTGCTCAATATTTCTTCTTTTTTTTCATCAAAATTTATTTCATGAGTGGTTTAAGCTTGCTGCTGTTTCCACCATTCATTCAATGAAATGTATGAATTGCTTTGCCACTTGGTGTTTTTTTTTTTTTTTTTAAACAAAGACTTTTTTTTAACTAGAGATGGGAGTGAGGGAGTGGATCTAAAATAGCAGGTGGTGTCACTGGGAGAGGGCATAAAGGGGGGCAGAGTTTGGGGTATCAGCAAAAGAGAGCAGATCATGAATATTACCTTCACTCCCAGGTAACTCTTTTTTTTTCTTTTTCCTTAGTTGATAGTACAGTTACTCACTTAATCACTCAGGTTAAATACCTTGTTTTGTCTTCCTGTTTCTACCTAGCCATCCTCTCTTACGTGTACATCTACAGTAAGTCACCAAGCCTTGCTCTATTATCTTTTAAATATTTGGTGGTGGCTTTTCTCCCTCTTCTCCACCCATTATTGGTTTAATTCAGAGCCTCTATTTTTTTCTTTTCTTTTCTTTTTTTTTTAAGAGAGAGAGAGAGAGAAAGAGTATTTGTTTATTTAGTTTTTTAGTTTTTGGCGGACACAACATCTTTGTATGTGGTACTGAGGATTGAACCCGGGCCGCACGCATGCCAGGCGAGCGTGCTACCGCTTGAGCCACATCCCCAGCCCTATATTTCTTGTTTAGACTTCGTTTCAACCTCTCATGCTTTTTTTTTTTTTTATGCCAGGGATTGAACCCAGGGGCACTTAACCACTGATCCACATCCCCAGCCCTTTTTGTGTTTCATTTTGAGACAGTGTGTCTCTAAGTTGCTTAGGGCCTTGCTAAGTTGTTGAAGCTGACTTTGAATTGGTGATCCACCTGCCTTAGCCTCCCGAGTTGCTGGGATTACCAGCATGTGCCTGTCTTCAACTTCTTATGCATTTAGCTTGCCTTCCTCTCTAATTCATACTTACCAAACTATGGCCCTTATGCCAGACCAGCCTACCATGTTTTTAATGCACTAAGAATGGCTTTACTGTATTTATTTTAAAATTTTTTTATTGTATGAGAGATTGAACTCAGGGACTCTTTACAACTGAACCACATCCTTACCCCTTTTCATTTCGTATTTTGAGATAGGGTCCTGCTAAGTTGCTGAGTTTGGCCTTGTAACTGTGATCCTCCTGCCTCAGCTTCTAAGTAATTGGTATTATAGGCATGTGTAACTGCATTTGGATTTGGTTTTACATTTTTATTTATTTATTTATTTTTAGTGAGAGAGAGAGAGAGAGAGAGGGAGAGAGAATATATTTTTTTTAATATTTATTTTTTAGTATTTGGCACACACAACATCTTTGTTTGTATATGGCGCTTAGGATCGAACCCAGGCTGCACACATGCCAGGCGAGCGCGCTACTGCTTGAGCCACATCCCCAGCCCGGTTTTACATTTTTAAATGGTTGAAAAAATATTTCAGAATATTTTGGGATACATGAAAATTGTGTCCATTAAATTAAGTGGTTTTGTTTATTTATGTTTTTGCTTTTGTGTTATAAAGGTAGAGTTCAGTAGTTTCATCAGAGACAATATGGCCTTTAAAGCCTAAATATTTGCCATCTGGCCCTTTTACAGAGTTTGCTGACCCCTGCTTTAATACACTGGTTCTCAAATCCATAGGTGCTCAGGCCTATTGCGACAATAGAAAATATAATGGTAGTCAGAACTTTGAGTTTATTGATAGAATAAGTATGACTATGATAACAACAAGTGCAGACTGATATAAATGTGTTCCTTGGGCATCTCAGATACCATGACCACAATGTTCTTGGTGGTCTCAGTGAACCATATAAACAAGTTTTGCACCATCACAARTATTTGGTAGAACAACTGAAAGTCATGAAGAAGGGTGGGATTGTCTAGCACATAGAGTATCCAGCAATTAATGACCATACTCACTAAAGTGCCATAYTATTCCCCAACATGTGACACCTCAAATCATCCCTCTAATTTTCAAAATGTCTTCTAGATGTGTTACCACCTCCACTGAAAACTACTCTTCTAAACCAGCCACACCACAGCTATCAAAGTAATCTCTTTTTTAAAATTTTTTAATTTTTTTAAAAATTTTTTATTTGTTTTAATTAGTTACACATGACAGTACAATGACTTTTTTTAAAGAGAGAGTGAGAGAGGAGAGAGAGAGAATTTTTTTTTAATATTTATTTTTCAGTTCTCGGCGGACACAACATCTTTGTTGGTATGTGGTGCTGAGGATCGAACCC